TGAAAAAATTTTTAATAAGAAGTTATAATTAAAAACAAAGTAGCGGGAGAGGAAACAAGTGATCTTGGCTTATTATTATTATCATTACAAAGCACTTTCTGTTTGTTTAGCTGAACTGAACAAAGGTTATTACACTAACAGGCGATGATCAGTGAGTTGTAGAACCATGAGTCTTGTTTCTCAGTCCTGTGGTATCACCACATTGGACTTTTGGCAGTATTCCCATCCATTTCTGCAGTTGTTTTTGTGGGATTAGGAAGAGTGATTTTACTGATTCAGGCCTACAGTCAACAGTACTTACTGAACACTGATTGTGTAAAGATTATTTTGTGGGGTGCTGGGGGAGGCAGGGGGAGGGCCTCATCTGTAGACATGGGTCAGGGAGAGGTTAAGGACAGAAAAGAAACAGAAGGGATAGTCCCTGCTCTCAGCTAATTTATAACATCTTGGGAAAACCCATAAGCATCAACTCTGGAAGTTTGTGGCCAGTGCATCTGAGTGTAATTAATAATAGTAGTGGAATAACTGAATTCTTCTCTTTGACTACAGGTGGTGTTAGCAAAGCATGTGTATGAGCAGGTTTTACAAACGCTGGACAATCTCGTGTATAGTGAAGATCTGAATAAGTTTCCAGTCAGTGCTACCTCCTCACCTTGCCCTAATTCTCCTCTGCCTTCCCTCAGTACCAGTGGAGAACCTTCCATTGAAAGGAAGGAGAATGGGTTGTTCAGCCACTCCAGCCTTTCTAACTCTTCTCAAAAGTCCTTGTCTCTGAAGGAAGTGAAATCTTTTACCCAGATTCAAGCCAACTTTTGTATATCAGAGCTTCAAGTCCAGCTAAGTGGAGATCTGACTTTGGGGGCCCAGGGTCTTGTGAGCTTAAAGTTTCAGGATTTTGAGGTGGAATTCAGTAAAGACCATCCTCAGACTTTATCTATTCAGATTGCCCTGCGCTCTCTGCTGATGGAAGACTTACTGGAGAAAAATCCGGATTCCAAATATAAGAACCTGATGGTGTCTCGGGGAGCCCCTAAGCCATCTAGTTTAGCACAAAAAGAGTATCTTTCTCAGTCTTGTCCTTCGGTATCCAATGTGGAGTATCCTGACATGCCTCGGTCTCTCCCTTCCCACATGGAAGAAGCTCCTAATGTCTTCCAGCTGTATCAAAGACCCACCTCAGCATCCCGGAAGAAGCAAAAGGAAGTCCAAGACCAGGACTGTCCCTTGACCCCACCCCCTTCTCCAACAGTAGATGAGCCAAAGATACTTGCTGGAAAGAGTAAATTTGATGATTCCTTGGTACATATCAACGTATTGTTGGTGGATAAGAAACATCCAGAATTCTCTTCCAGTTATAACCGAGTTAACCGGAACATTGATGTTGATTTTAACTGCTTGGATGTGCTGATCACGCTGCAAACCTGGGTCGTGATCCTAGATTTTTTTGGAATTGGCTCCACTGCAGACAACCACGCAATGAAGGTACTGCCCGAGGACGTTCTACAAAACGTCAAGTCAGAATCAGATGCTCTCCCGGAGTCTGAACTTCAGGATCCAGTTAACACCAAGCTGGACCTCAAGGTATCACTCCCCTTTGGCTCCTTAAAGTTCTACAAATGAATTTTGCTTTGTTTATTTAAATGTACTCATTGTTCATTTACCCTAGGAAATAGATCTTATTGACAGGGGAGCTATATATGGTCTTCTGGATGTCTGTTAATATTTTAGAAAAGGTTTTAGCATAAATCCCATCTGGAGGCAGGGAGAATAAATGGTTTAAGTAACCTTTTGTCTTTCCTTTGGGTTATGCAATTCAGTGGAATGCTCTGTTGTCTTGGAGTCTCACGTTGCTGGTCTTCTGTCATCCGATTAGTTAAGATAACTAAGTGAGGTAATGTACGTAAAGCCCCTAGCCAAGTGTCTGGCCCCTAGAAGCTACTCTAGAATGTGGCTCTGGTCCTCTGTCCCTGCTCACTCAGAACATTGTTGGCTTTCACTGAGGCAACAGGACAAGCACTGAGAAAGAAGTCTCACGTCAGACTGCCTGGGTTTGAATTCTGGCACTTTTTTTTTTTTTTTTTAAAGATTTTATTTATTTATTTGACAGAGACATAGCTAGAGAGGGAACACAAGCAGGGGGAGTGGGAAAGGGAGAAGCAGGCTTCCTGCGGAGCAGGGAGCCCGATGCGGGGCTCCATCCCAGGACCCCGGGATCATGACCTGAGCCGAAGGCAGACGCTTAACGACGACTGAGCCACCCAGGCACCCCTGAATCTTGGCACTTTTGCCGTAACATCTGGCTGTGTGGCCTTGGGCATGGTTTTTAATTCTTCTCCCCCGATTTTCTTATCAACGAACTGGGGGTGTTGAGTGGTGCCTCCATCATCGGGATGTTGCAAGGATTCAGGGAGATAACTACTTGAGCAGGGCCCTTTGCACAGTGCGTGGCATGAAGTGAGCATTCAGCGAACGAGAACTTGTATAGTTTTGCTATTATGTGGAATACCAGACTTATAACTTATCCTTGGTACTCCTATTGTAGATGTAACACTTAAAAAAGATAGCGTTTGATTTTAAGGTTATTCTGTTCTGTGTGCTAGCATGGTAAGATGTATAAGCAGCTAAGTTCCATTGACCATTTGGGGGCACGTCCTCAGAGCTGGCACCATCCAGAGCCCGGGGCCCCCCCGCAGTGGCTGATGCCATCTGTGCCTGCGGGGAGAAGTTCTTCATCTGCTTGTCGTAGCAAATGCGGACTGGCGCTTGCTGCTGGGGAGCCTTCAGGGAGGAGAATCATGTTCAATTCAGCCACTATCTTCTTCTTTCCTTAGCTGGCGGGAGGCTGCATTCCTCTAGAAATAGAAGAGCTTTCGGGGCAGAGTTGGGCCCGAACCAGTGTCACCTCTCCTGCTCAGTGTCTGTGGATGAATGCCATCGCAGCACTCTGTTTAGCCAGATGAATGGCAACGGGAGAGGCTTCAGTCATTGTTTGGACTTGATGTGTTTGTACCTGTTAACTTTCATCTTGCCGTGCCTGTAATGAGCGGCCTCAGGAACCCTTCAGTGCTGGGTGTGGAAGTGCTCCAGGGGGCTTTGCGCAGATAGAGGCAGCTGGCTTCACAAGAGAGTAACAGTGGATAATGCCCCTTGGCAATGGGCTGTTTTAGAATTTTTGAAAACATTTTTACTGTGAAAATTTTAAAACATAACACAAATAGTTTAATGAACTTCCACTGACTTTATTCCTTTGAGATTCATCACATTGACTTTATTCCTTTCCTCTTTTTGCTGAAGTATTTTTTTTTTTAAAGATTTTATTTATTGGGGCGCCTGGGTGGCTCAGTCGTTAAGCGTCTGCCTTCGGCTCAGGTCATGATCCCAGGGTCCTGGGATCGAGCCCCACATCAGGCTCCCTACTCCACGGGAAGCCTGCTTCTCCCTCTCCCACTCCCCCTGCTTGTGTTCCCTCTCTCGCTGTCTCTCTCTCTGTCAAATAAATAAATAAAATCTTTAAAAAAAAAAAAAAGATTTTATTTATTTATTTGACAGAGAGAGACATAGAGAGGAGAGGGAACACAAGCAGGGGGAGTGGGAGAGGGAGAAGCAGCCTTCCCGCTGAGCATGGAGCCCAAATTGGGACTCGATCCCAGGACCTTGGGATCACGAACTGAGCTGAAGGCAGATGCCCAACGTCTGAGCCGCCCAGGCGCCCCTTTGCTGAAGTATTTTAAAGCAAATTCCAGATAAATCATTTTACCTCTTCATGCTTCGGTGTTCATTTCTAAAAAATGTGGACATGTTCTTATCTAACCACATCTCACTAAATTAATGAGAATTTCTTCGTATTCTGTAACACTCACCAGTCCATGATCAGATCTTTCTGATTATCTCAGTAGCCGTTTGACTGGTGGATTATAGAGAAATGAATAGTTAAGAAACTTCATGTCTTCCCTGTGATCTCTGCAATTCATTGGAATACTTTGCTTTGTCTACAAAAGGGGGAGAATTAAATAAAATGACATGTGACTCTTGAATGGGAGTTCAGATGAGGTTCACATGTTACATTTGCTGCCCTATCTCCTAAATCTCTGTTAATTGAAGAAGACCAGTCTTTATTCTCCCCATGGCATTGGCTTGTAGAAACTGGGTTGGTGTCCTGTGGAGTATCCCACATTCTGGCTTTGTCTTTTGGTTTCCATTTGGTGCCACTTAACTTCTTTGATCTTCTCATTTTAGAAATGGAAGTTAGCTCTAGAGGCTTTCTCAGATTCAGGTTCAACTTTTTGTTAACAGTTCATAGGTTGCGCTGGGTGCTTCCTGTTGCGTCATGTTCAAGGGTATGCAGCATCTGGTTGTCCCACTTTTAGTGACACTAGGATTCGTGCTAAGAGTGGGTCAGGTGGTGACAGCTGGATTCCTCTAATCAAAGCATTTTTAGCCCCACTATATTTCTTATTTGGGTGATTAAGTGACTGGAGGCTTTCTGTTTCCCTCCTTCAGGATAATCTCGTTTCCTTGAGACCTGTGTGTCTCTGTCAGCAAGCTTTCTGTGGTCTTCAAGGCCACTGCGCCTAGAATAATCTGCTCCTTTTTTCTCTGCCTTCCTCTACAAATGTTCCTCTTTCTTCCTGTTATTTTCTTTCTTTCTTTCTTTCTTCCCCCATCTTTTTTTCCTCCTTATCATTCATCCAACTTTAACTGAGCACCTGCTTAGTGGCAGGCCCTGAAGATGCAGGGATGAGTCTGGCACTTGGACGCAGTGACTGTGAATTGCGGTTCCATCCTTTCCTCTCTTCCTTCTCCCCAACTGATCTCTTATCCCCAGTGATGACGCTAAGGTACCTGTCTCAGTACATCCTAGATATAGAAGTCCTTTGAATATTTGAAACGACAGTGTTACAATACAGGATTTATTTGTTACAAGGAATGTGGTTCCTAAGAGAGGATTTTGGCATTTTTCTATTTCTGCTTGTCCCTCGAAAAGAAAATCTTTGACTGTGGTTCCTAGGCAAAGTCCCAGTTGGTCAGCAGAGCCTTCTATTAAATAATTGTCTAGTCATTAAACAGGATTCTAAATCATATTTATCATTTTGCTTGGACAGATTTCTTAGGGTAGGACTTAATGAATCTCTGAGTGATTATATTCAATACATTACATTCATATTACAGAATAGTTAATATGAAAAACAAATGCAAAAATGAGAAAAATTGTTTCATAATGTAACACGTTTCACTAATGAAGTATAGACGAGGCGAGCACAGAGACACCACCACAGGACCTGGGTTTTAGGTTGTCCGGTCGAGCCCCTTTCTCATTAGCTCTCTCCTAAGATTGACTGATAAAGAGAGCTAAAATGAAATTGGCATCCACAAAAGCGTTACCTTCATATTTCCTGAACCTTTCTGTATCTTCCTCGATTTGGTTCTGCTGTTTGCCTGACACATGCCTTTTCTCCCCTAGTAAGATCTGCCTTGCTTTATCTCCTACGTTCTTAGGTTCATTCGCTCTCTCTTGTGCTGAATAAGACCACCAGTGAGCTTGCTAAAGCAAGTGTATCCAAATTAGTGGCACACCTGGAAATGATTGGTAAGTGGGGAGAAATCAAACTTGCAAAATCTGGTAAGAATTTGAACCTCCTGCTCACAAATCTAATTGTCTTCACATGCAAAGTAAGGTGAGGGATCATTGGCTTAGATTGTGGTTCTTGGTCTGGCTATGATTTGTGGTGGTGGTTCCCAAATACCGGCTTATGGATTAGAGTCATATGGACAGCTTGTTAAAAATGCATGTTTCTGCCCACCCCATCCCCAAAATATGATTCATTAGGTTGGGATGGGGCCCTGGCATCTATTTTTAACAAATTTTTAACAAACTCTGGGTAGGGTGACTATATAATTTTTTGTCCAAATTGGGACATTTTGAGAGTGAAAGGGGACATTATTAATAATTATACCTGGGAAACCAGGGTATATATATGTTCACTCTATTGCCATAATAGGGGAGCCATCAGTAAGGGGCGTGATTTTAGGTGGGAGGATGTAGCAAAGCAGATCTGCAGGTCTCTGCAGGTTGAAATTGTTAGTTGAACACAAGTGATCAGCTACATCAGTTCTAAATAGCAAAGGTTTATAAAGTGTGAGTAAAGCACTACTCCTTCCTTAAGGAACAGATAATGAAATAATGGACGATCACAGCTCACATGTTGATTCTGTAGTATAAACAAGAATGTCTTTAGGGGAAGGAATGATCTGAAATTGAGATTTCATGACTGATGTAAACTAAATTAATTTATGAAAGCTCAGAAGAGATAGGTCTTTAAAATTGGGAGAAGTTTGGGTATTTTTGTTAGATGACATTAAGGGTCAAATATAAGTATGTCTTCAATTCATTGAGAGCTGAACTAGCATGGTGAATATAACACCTTCATCATTGCTTTGTAGTGCTAATTATGATGATAAAACTTGTTTTATGGAAGCAATAGTTCGCAGTATCGCTTTTTAATATCCACACCATGTAAAGAATGATTCATCATAGGTTCACATCCCAGGTGCACATGTTTTAACATTCTTCTTTGTTCTTTTCCATCTTCAAGGGATTTCACTCTTGTAATACCAGAGTAGTTTTAAATCTGTCTCCAGTGTCTCTCTCATTAATTGCACTTTTTTATTAAATCACACTAACACCCACTTAATGTTGCCTGAATACCTGACATATCTCTGACACTTCTTTCTTTATTCTTTTATCCATAGTACAATTAATAGACCCTTTGCTATTTCACTAATTCTAATTAGTGGTCTTAATCTCCGAAAGGATTCCATTTTGTCTGTATTTAGAAATGATTTATCCTTTAATTTGTGTATGCATTTAATTTAATTTCTTTCCCCTTCTAAAGGTTAATGTATGATATTGCTGTATTGTTTCAACCCCCTTTGGACTTCTGCATTGAGACTGTTTGAAACAATGTGGGAAATGTTTTTGGTGGGTGGATTGGAATATGAAAATTTGCCTTTGACATTTAATTTGATTAAATAGTGAAAAGTCTGAGGCATGTGTATATCGGTTTTTGTGCCAGACATATTTAAGGTGTAGGATGAAAGAAGATACATAAGAATGTGTTCTAATTTTAACATCCCTAGACGGAGACCTGGCCTTACAGGGAAGCATTGGGAGCCTGTCCCTGAGTGACCTCACAGCCCATGGAGAATTCTACAGAGAGCGGTTCACTACAAGTGGAGAAGAAGCGCTCATCTTCCAGACTTTTAAGTAAAAATATCAGTTTTTCTCATTTGACATTTCGTCATATTTCCTTGCTACTTCAAATTCTTGTTGGCTAAACAATAAAAGTTTAAAAAAATTTTACCTTCTTAGGTAAAATTGATATGATCTAGTTGCAGGGAATCCTGATTTATAGTAAAACTGATCTGTGTTGAAGCAGGCTACTCAGTCTTCATAAACAGATGGTGTGTGATTGAAATAATTTTTTTTTAAGATTTTTTTTTTTTTTTAAGTAATCCTTACAACCCAACATGGGCCTCGAACTCACAACCCTGAGATAAGAGTCGCAAGCTCCACTGACTGAGCCAGCCAGATGCCCCGAAATAAATATTAAAAAGCCTAGGCTCTCATGCCGGCTTTACGCTGACTTGTTATATGAACTTAGGCAAGTCACTTAATCTCCACGAGTCAGTTTTTCTATCTAAATATTGAAGGGACAAAGATCAGTTTCCATCTAGCTCTCAACGTTCTGGAATGATTTCAGCCTAAAAAAGTTGTTGAAGATGTGAATGTTAAATTATATTACACATTTTTTTTCTGTATAAAGACAATCTATATTAAATCTTTTCAGTTTTAGAATTTAGAAGGCATTTTTAGAGCTATGTAGTTTTTTTTTTTTTAAGATTTTATTTATTTGAGAGAGAGAGAGAGACAGATAGTGACAGAGATAGCAAGAGAGAGCACGACCGGGGAGGAGAGGGAAAAGCAGTCTCCTGCCAAGCAGGGAGCCTGACGTGGGGCTCGATCCCAGGACCCTGGGATCATGACCTGAGCCAAAGGCAGCAGCTTAACCGGCTGAGCCACCCAGGCGCCCCCTAGACCTATGTAGTTTTTAAAGAATGGTTTCTTCAGAAGGCTGAAAGTTTAAAATGGTAGGTTTTCAACATTTTGGGGAGCTGTTAGAAAATAGAGATAACCAGCTCTGCCCCCAAATATTCTGTTCTAGGGGAGTGCTCATTTTTTTTTTTTTAACATTTGCTAAAGTGTTTCTAATGTTTAACTAGAGTTGAGAAAAACTATCCCCAAAGATGTCTGAGAATTTTTTTTTCATTTTCAGGGGAAGTATATCATACTTTACTGAGAATATAGATTGACGTGTTTATATTATTACCTACCACAGTGGTGTAATTCTATGATAAATGAGATAATTAATATAAAAGTCATAACTATCAGGTTGGCACAAAATAGGTGCTTAAGCAAATGTGAATTTCTTTCCCCTGTGACTATGTTCCGTATAATTTATTATTATGATGTCATGTCTTTTAAATTGAAAACCATTCATAAAAGTTTTCTAATTTGTCTTGGAATGTAGATGCTAAACCTCTTTGGCCTACATTTCACTGAAGTAAAAAGATATCTTTCTGCCTCCAGGAGACCGTTTTCCCCAGAAACATTGGTTGTGTTGCCTACTGGTCTTTACCCATTGTTTCATGGTCTAATTTTTGTTATCTTTCGAGTCCATATTGTTATAATCTTTGAGCAGGAAGAATCACTTTTCCCTAAAGGCAGGGAAAGAGGCCCCGGTGAAAGGTGTGAGCCACAGGTGGCTTCTGAGTGAGTTCTGGGATCAAGAGTGAGTCTAGTGCCAGGGCTGCCTACCTGTTCATAGCCGTGGCCATCACCCCAGACTTGGATTTCACATCCTCAGCGAGTTGCCGTAGCTTAGAAAAGGAGTGATTATTGGAGTTTGCTTTGTCAAACCTGATTGCGGATTGGCATTTCAATAGTTGAAGCTGTTTTCTAGGGGAAACCCCTAAATGAGCTTGTTTTCTTCCAATACTGACTTGTATCTGGCTGCCAAGTCACACTTCTGCACTTCTTCCCAGATACGGCCGGCCTGACCCTCTGCTCCGGAGAGAACACGACATCCGAGTGAGCCTGCAGATGGCCTCCGTGCAGTATGTGCACACGCAGCGCTTTCAGGCCGAGGTGGTGGCCTTCGTGCAGCACTTCACTCAGCTGCAAGATGTCTTAGGGCGCCAGCGAGCGGCGATCGAGGGCCAGACGGTAGGAAGGCCCATTTCCGTACGTTGCTTTTCCAGTTTGACTGATCAATAGAACTTTTAAGCCTCTAGAGAGAAGTCTGGAAGATTTCACTGCAAAAAGGAAAGGTCTTTAGGTAATTTTACGCTGACTAGTGTCCTCCGGGTAGCCGATTATCTACAGAAGTCTTGTTGTAATTGGAGAGCTTACATTCCCTCTGTCGTGTTTTAATGACCTGTAGGGTTTAGCTTTAGCTTCCTCTAAAGAAGATAAACGAAATTTATGGCTAACACTTAAGACTTCTGGTCCCTTTTAGTACTCTAGTGGAGATACTTCTCTTGGAAAGTGTTTCCAAGGAATATATCAATTATGTAAAGAGAGTTTTTTCCAAATAGATTAGCGGTTCCCAACTTCTTCATTCATGGTTCTCTTAGTGTTTTGGAATTATTTCCATGGCACGTCCTCAGCCAAAAGACACACCTAATGGTCTTTCCATTTAGAAAATAGTAAAGTCTGAACAAGTACGTACACATGTCCTAATGACTCAGTAGCTGTTTAAAAAAATAACACATAAGTGAAAGACTAATATTTTTATTTCATTTGTAAATAAATTACTTGCTAGCAGGGATGCAAGTGCCCCTTGGGCACCGTACAGCTTCTCAGACTTGGGACAGGCTGGACACGGCAGCTCTCATTCATTGTCTTACGGCCCTTGCTTTTTATCACAGCAACTGCCAAAGACCCAGTTGCGCGAAGATGCGACATCATTGGAAGGAATGTAGCATGATCTAACATTGAACGTGACCTACCTCAGTCTAGTATGTGCAGTGTCCAACAAATGATGTGTTTGCCTCAAAAATTTGAAATGTCTTGTGGTGTCTTGGCACAGAGTTTGGGAACCACAGAAAACGTTTACAATGCAGTCCTTTGTAAAACTTATTTATTTTTAAGCTTCATTAGGTAAAAGATTATAATTAAATAAAGAGTTACGGTCTTTATAGTGACAACATTTAAAAAGTCTAACTTTATTTAAATTTTTTGAATATGTTACATATTGATTTAATATAGAATCGAAGTAAAAGGACATTTGGAGAAAAGTCTCCTTCTCAATTACTTTTCCTCAACCACCCAGTTTCTCTCCCTGGAAATAATCAATGTTACCAGTTTCCTGTATATCTTCGAGAGAATATATATTTTTTTAAAATATAAAAGCACAGGGGCGCCTAGGTGGCTCAGTTGGTTAAGCCTCCGACTCTTGATCTCAGCTCAGGTCTCAGGGTTGTGAGTCCAAGCCCCATGCTGGGCTCCACATTGGGTGTGGAGCCTACTTCGTTTAAAAAAATATATTTATCTATATACATATAGATATATATCTATATATAAAAGCACAGTCAAATTATAGGGAATGTGGAAAAAAGGATCAGTCTTATCAGTGTCCTAGTACCCCAGGTATATTTTAATTTGTTTTCATTGTTTTTTAAATTTCTCCTAAATTTCTCCCTATGCATGTTTCCATGGTTGTAATGATAGAATATGTAACCTTCTTTTTTCTTTTTAGAAACTTTTAAAACAAATTTATTATTTGACACATACAAAAGAATATTGGTAGCATGTCAGTTTCAAAGTATGATAACGAACATTCAGGAAATAAATAAAAATTAAAACATTGCTAATGCTGCTGCACGTGTTCCTTCCCCATCTTATTCCTGTCAACTCCTTAGGTAACTGTTCTCCTGATTTTTGGGTCTTATGGTCCCTTAAAAAAAAGTTCCCGTATAATATCTTATTTCATTTGTTTTGATCTTTATGAAAATGCCATTAAGCTGTGTTTAATGTTCTGTTACTTTTTTTTTCATTTTCATTTAGTTAGATACATTCAGGTTGTTACCCATGATGGCCTTTCATTTAATTTCACTGTTGTAGTTCATTGCGTGTAGCACAGATTTATCCATTTTTCTGTTGAACATTTGGTTGCTTATGTGTTTTGCTCTTGTGTACTATGTCTCTCTTAGTGCACGGGTGTAAGATTTTCTCTGAGCAGGATTTCTGGGCCATGGGGTATGCACATGTTTATCTTTACAAGATAGTGCCAGATTGTTTTCCCGAAACCATTATACATTCCCATTGGCAATGTATAAAAATTCCTTTTAATTCATATTTGTATGAATTCATATCCTTTAATTCATATCCAACACTCGTTAACCTTTTTATTTTGAGCCAATAATGGTGTAAAATGGCATTATTCCACTTATGGTCTACTTATGCCTTTTATTTTTACTTCTTATTTTTAAAATAATTTTTAAAATTTTAATTCCACCTACCTATGCTTTTAAAAAAAAAAACATTTAAATCGAGGAATAGCATATAGTACATACAGTAACGTAATGTAAAGTGTGTTAATTTTATGCATACACTTTTGAAAGCCATCATGTTAACCTTTTTTCATAATCTTTCCATTTCGCTTTGCATTTTTCATAGTGATCCTATTTAATAATTGTATAATCCATTAAGTCAGTTTACTTAACCATTTCCTTGTTTTTTTAACATTTAAATTGCTTCCAGTTTTTCATTCTTATGACTAATGCTTCTGTGAATAGCATTGTGTACCCAGTTGTTTTTTTTTTTTTTTCTTCCATTTTTTGTATTATTTTTATAGTATTAAATCCTGTAAATGACTGTTCGGTCATAGTGATGAACAGTTTCGTGACTCTCAATTTGATACTTTTAATAAATGTTGTCTGTTAGAATTATGTACCCTTAAAATGATTATTTTCACCTGTGTGGTTTAAGCAGCAGTGTGACTGTGAGGAATCACTAGGGGTAGGAAGTGAGACAGTGTGCTTTAGTGTGTAATTGGGTTTAATTTCCTGGGTTAAGCAGAAATTAAACAGGTAAGTCTTTGAAGTTTTTGTTATATCAAGTTAGGTAAGACAAGTAGACAGTAAAAGAGTGATCTTCTGTTTTGAACAGTGCTAAGTGTGTGGGCTCCGAAGAAAAGCTGATCTTCTCAAGATCTTTGATCCTAGCTGTTTGAATTACATAGGTTTAAGATTTTGCTTTACTTAGATTTATGGAGAGAGCTAAAGACCTGCTTTTATTTGCTGGTAAAATTGAGGCTATTTTGAAATTTAAATACCTTTCTCCTGGTGACAGGTGGTATCCTCTATCTTTGACTTGTAGCCGGATTTTTATTCCTGTATTTTCCGGTGTCTGTAAATAATGATCGAATAGGACTTGATGTTTCTTTTTAATCTTATTGTTTGAAATTGTAAGAGTATCATGTACCTCGATTGGGCCAAATATGAATTTATTTTTTATCCCAGAAGTGTAATAATGGTTTTCCTGCGTCTTCTGATTTACATGTTGTTTCTTTTATTTGTTAAACTTCTTTATTCACTGAGCAACTGGGAGTGCAGATTTTTGGCGGAGCTAAGATGTGGTATTGCAGTTTCGAAATCTTGGTACAAGAATCTGGAGTCTGGGTGTTGCCGGTGTAAGTTGTTTCACCAGCAGTGAGTTATTTTTCTTGCTGTTCTTCTTTTGACTCAGTTATTGGAGGAAAATGGAGATACAAAAATAAGTATGCTGTACGGTTGCTTAATAATATATTAACGATGCTTTGGAGCTTTCACAATATTATCTCATTTGATCCTTATGACAACCATGTTTGTTCATTTTTGTGAATTATTTAGTGACTGTTCATTGACAAATGATCTGTCATAGAGTTTGCCAAGTGCTAGAAACATAATGGAAAACAAGAAAGACAAGGTCATTGCCTTAATGGAGCTCATGTTTTAGTGAGATGATATAACCCAGGAAAAAAATATAATTAGTTATGATTATAGCCAGTGAGGGAGTGGTGGGCCAGGTGTGTTACTGCCGTTTTATCAGCGAGGAAACGGTAATTCTTAGCTCTGCTTGTCTGGAACTCTGGCTAACTCATGATTCAGCTTTTCTCTTAATGGGGAAACATGTAACATGTAACTACTAAGGTGTGTTAGAAAAGTAAGAGCTATGCAGTATTAGTTTTGAATCTGCCCCTTAATGCATTGAACTTTATAAAATAGAATTGTATGCTATTGGATGATTGCTTCTACGTGCTGAGGTGGGTGGTGTCATTTCATCCTTACAACAGCTCTTGAAGATAGGGCCTGTGATTCCTCCCGTTTTACAGGTAAGAAAAGTGAGACCCAGAGACCTAACAAGTTACCCAGCCTCGCCAAGCTTCTAAGTGGCCAGGGTGGGGATTCCACTCAGGTAGTCAGGCTTCAGAGCTCCCATTCTGAGTGCCTACACTAACCTGCCAAAATGGTAACAGTTTTTATCTCTGGAGGTGAGGTTATGTGTGATATCAGATTTCTTCTATTTGTTCGTCTTTCCCTTCTAAGTTTTCTACAGTGAATATGAGTTAATTTGTAAATCTAAAATTTACTCAAAGAACAAAGCAAACAGGCAGTAGTCATGGGTAGACAATACCAACAAATCATCTACTACGGTTAGAAAGTGAAAACGCTATTTATTGTGTTGTAAATTCTCCTGACTTATGTGCTTAACACCAAAGAAAGAAGAGCTTTTTTATATTATAAAGGCTATATTTTTTTTAAGTAATAAATGTTTTTTATAGGTAACAAAAAAAATCAGTAAAAATATGAGTAAGTAGAAAATTAAGACTGTCTTGTTCTCACTGTTTTATAATCTGTATTTTTCACTGATCAATATATGAGAAACATTATATTAGTGTATTATACTTTTTGTCGCCTTTGTTGTGGTATAATTTGCTCACAGTAAAATTAAGCAATTTTAAGAGTACAATTCAATGAGTTTTAACAATTGTATAGTGTTATAACCCCAGTCACATCCAGATTTTTAGAACATTTCTGTTATCCACAAAGTTTCCGAGCTTCCATAGGCAAACAGTCTCCTAATCCCTGTGTCCTGGCAGCCATTGGTCTGTTTTCCATCAGAATAGTTTTGCCATTTTTTTCTTTTTCTTTTTTTTTTTAGAATTTTCTATAAATGAAATCATACATCATAGTTGTGTC